ATAGTTCAGACACTCTTAAAAATGACTCTTCTAGTCTCTCTCCCTTGCCATGCCCTACTGCATGCACCAGGCCAGGAGGATTACCATATAAAGAATTTGTCTCCTCCCAGTGACGCCACTTTTTAAAGAGTTAAGGGAGATTACAGAGAATTGCTTGATTATAAGGAATTAAGCTGGTAATATATGACAGTAGGATACTTGGAAATCCCCAAATGTTCATAAACTAAATAACATACTTCTACTGAACTCCCAAACTGAAGGAAAAATAAAAAGGGTATTTAAAAATATTTTAAATTGAATGAAAATGAAAACACAGCATATCAGAATTTGTGGGATACCATTAAAACGGTATTTAAGGAAAATTTATAGCACCAAAGGCACTCTATTTTGTAATTTATAGCATGCTGTTATCCTCAGTTAACTTAGAAAAGAAGAAAGCTCTCAAACCAATGAACTCAGATTCCACCTTAACAAACTAGGAAAAGAAGTATGAATTAAAACAAAGCAAGCCAAAGAAAGGAACTAGTAGAAATAAAAAAAAAAATAGAAAATGAAAAAGCAGACAAAAATCAATGAAACCAAATGCTGGTTCTTTGAGATCATTACTACTGATAAACCTCTAGATGGATTTTTCAGAAGAAAAACAAGAGAAAAAAACCAAATTACTGGTATCAGGAATGAGAGAGATGACATCACCTTAGATATCAAAAAAATAAGGGAATATTTTAAAAAATATTTTGCCAATATATTTGACAACTTAGATAAAATGGACAAATGCCTTGAAAGATACACATTACCAAAGTTCATTTAAGAAAAAAAAATCTGATTATTTCTATACCTATTAAAGGAATGGAAAATTTAGTTAAGCTCATTCCCTTAAAGAAAACCCCAGGCTTCACTGTTAAATTCTACTAAACATTTAAGGAAGAAATAATGCTAATTCTACACAAACTCTTCCAAAAAATTAAAGAGAAGGAAATACCTTCCAATTTGTTCTATGAGGCCAGCATTACACTGATACCGTCTTTCTGCCATGTGAGGATACAACTAGAAGCTGGCAATCTGCAACCCAGAAGAGAGCTCTCACCAGAGCTGGTGCCCTGACTCAGACTGCCAGCCTCCAGAACTAGGGGAAGTCAGTTTCTGCTGTTGATGAGTCCCCCACTTAGTGGCATCTTGTTACGGCAGCCTGAGCTGACTCAGGCACAATTCCCTCTACCCCGTTCTCCCTTTCTTCTACAGATGACTTTTCTCAGTTCTTGGTTTATCCATTCTCTTATTTTTTAACATTTAAGCAAATATGTATATAAATACATTCCCACTGCACCATTTTATCTATATTACACAAGGGATTACATATTATGTTATATTGTTTTATACCTTTTTCACTTAAAAACATAATCTTGGCGATCACTCCATATTAGGCATAAGTTTTTTCCTTCATTTTTTTTTAACAGCTTCACAGAATTTCTTTGTGTGGCTCTGCTATAGTTTATAATTGACCTTCTATTGATGGATATTTGGATTCAATTTCCAATCTTTTGCTATTGCAAATAATGCCACAAAGAATAACCTAGTGCTTTAGTCATTTAGTAATATTAGTAGTATATTTTTGGCATAGGTATCTATTAGAAATTTCTTGTCTCAAAAGACAAATGCTTAATTTTTTTTAGATTTTGTCAAATTCTCTTCCATAGATACTGCACCACCATTTTGCATTCCCACCAGCAGTGGATGAGAGGACTATTTTCCTGCAGTTTTATCCACAAAGTATGTTGTCAAACTTAATTTTTTGCCAATCAGGTAGGTGAGAAGTGGTGCTGTGGTATTGTTTAAATATGCATTTCTCTTATGATGAGCATCTTTTTTGTGTTTAAGTTCCTTAAATTATTTTTTTCTTTTTGTGTGCTCTCTCCTTATATCATTTTTACTATTTTTCTATCAAATCCTTGGTCTTTTTTTCCCCTTCAGATTTCCAGGACCTCTTTGTATATTCTGATATAGATTGCAGCTACGTTTCCTCGGTTTTTCCCCTGAGTTTTTGACTTTGCCTACAGCACTTTTCCATGTACAGTCTTAAAATGTTTTATGTAGTTGAATTTATTACTGCTTCTGAATTTTGTGTCATAGGAAAATTTTTCCCAGTTCACTTGTGTTTCTTCTAGTACATTTACCGTTTTTTCCTCCTTTTTACATTTGGACCTCTGATCTATTTGGAACTATCCTAGTGCATGGAGAGGCATTTGAATCTAATTTTAGATTTTTAATTTGTTGTGTATGTCTCTCTCTTGACTTCCAGTACCACACTGTTTTAATGATTATGCTGTTTTAGAATGCATTTTATCATCTGGTGGTGCTGCTTTGCGCAACCCCTCACTTCAGTAGCTTATTTTCTCCTTGGGGTTCTTGTGATTATTCTTCTCACTCGTGTATACCTCAGTCAGTGGATAAATGCCCCACCTTCCCAGTCTCTGCCAGGACAATTCCAGGAAATCTTCCACGTCTCAGACAGCTCCCAGGAGGCTTGCACCCAGGTGCCTACACCATCACTCTTCTCAGTCACACCTGCTTTATTAGCGTTTCTCCCTTCTTGGTCTCATTTCCTCCCTTCTGCATCCTCAAATCACCTTCCAAATAAACAACACGTCTTTGTCTGGAAGTCTGCTTTGGGGGCAACCCAAACTAAGAAAGAGTCATTTTCAGATTTTGACCCAGAGGTAAGAGATCCCAACGACTGTGACCCGAGTATGCTGCATACCTGGGTGTGCTGGTAGAGAAAGGGAGGAGGGAGCGGAGTCCTCTAATTCAGCTGTTCTGAACGTAGCGTTTTGGCTTGTTCTCTTGATTCCTTCCCTATAGCCTGTGTCTGTTCTTCATAGTCCTTAGACTTAGAGCTTCTCTGAAATGCCGTGGGAAGGGTTGACCTTATCTTCCATATTTTGAGCTGAAGTTCCTTCTTATTTATTACCCAATCAACTTGATCCCATCTATTTTAATTTCCAGGATTTTCTCAAGAGTCTGAGTGTACTGCTGGTTTGCTCTCCCCCCACCCCCCAGTGTCTTTATGCATATGCATGTGTCTCTATTGTTGAAGCAAAACTTTTTAGGCTTATTTATCTGAGTGTCAAAATGTATTACCCACTGATGAAGGAGTTAGCAGTTAGATAATTCCAGGCAAATTCAAATGACCAGAAAGAAAAGTAGTTTAAGTACATTAACCTTTTAACTAGACACAGACTGCTATTTCATTTCATATTGTCATTAAAAAAATCACATTCTTACAGTGATAGGGAGGGTTAGATTTGTGGAGCAGATACATTGGAGCTGTCTTCTCACAACTGCCAGGCATGAACCAGTAATCAGAAATAATAAGTAACATATCTGGGAAGAAAATAAAGAAGCAAATTGATCTAATAGCTGAATACACCTAGAAGCAGGTTTTATACCTTTACAAAAGGCCAATTAGAGGTCACCAGGATCAGTAACGTTCACTAGTTGCCACCAAATATACTGACCAAACCAGCTGCATAATTCTCAGTATGGGGACAGAATCAATGTCTCTGCCTCTACTTCTCTCTCTCCCCACCTCCTCTGTTTCCCGCTCTCAATCTCTCCCCACCTCTTCTCTCTTCCTTTGTTTTAGTTTAATAGGTCTGTTCAGCCTACCATTTTCTGTATATAATATATAAAATTTTAGATTCTGCTCTTTCTCGAAATATGATGTGGAACTACTTCTTCCTGTTACTGTATATACTTTTTCTTCATTAGTTATAAAAAGACAAATACTAATGTATATCCTGACTATACTGCTGTTTACTTATCTATATGTAAAGATGTCTTTTCCCCTTTGCAATTAATAAGTAATCTATGGAGTGACACTTGAAACTGTAAATATGCTATTGCCTGATAGTTTCTCACCAGTGACTTCAGCATCCATTCGTGAATCTGGTTTAAATCAGTTGTTACTATGAGAGTTACAAAAGAGTATTAACATTTGTTAGTTAACGTTCTTATATAGATGTTAAGAGTTTCCCTTCCTCAACTTTTGATTTGATTTTATATTGGTATAGATTCATGAATTCTTTTTTCCCACAAATTTAATGGGTTATAATGCATTCCTATCAATATTTTATTGTCCCATTATCAAATTGTCCCATTGGTTTCTGTCTTCTTTGACATGTCCCCATCATGACATGTCCCTTTAGTTTCTGGCATGTTCTCTGCTCATTTTATACTTTTCATGGCCCAGCCCTGGAATTATCCATTTCTCTAAGAAGCCCAGGATTCTTACGGTAGAGAAAAGTGTTTTAAACCTAAGAGGTGTGCTTCAAGAGTGCTAAATAACTACCTGGTTGCTATTACTTTCAAGCCCTTCTAGTGGACATAACTAAGAAATAGATTTTTTTTTATCATATACTAAAAAGTATTTCCATATTTACGATAATGTTCTTAGTATAAATTCCCAGAATTTGAGTGATTGGTTGAAATAACATGAATATTTTTAAGACTATCAATCCTTATCATAAACTTGTTTTCCAAAAGTTTTGATTTTATGGGTACTTGTTTTGCTATATGTTTACCAGAATTAGATCTTAATTTTTTTCTTTTTTATATTTCTAGTAGATATATAAAATTATATATTTTAAATTTAACTTCCTTTGATTACCAGTGAAGTTTAGCATCTTTCTAGTTATGTTTCCTCTTTGGTGAATTATTTATTCTAGCCCTTTCTTCTTTTAGCACTTGTAATATTTCAAGATTTTTTTTTTAAAGTTGTCTATTTGATTAGGTATTGTGCATACTTGACCTGTGGACTTTTTTTTTCTAACTCAATAGATTTTTCCAGTGAAACACAGAGATAATTTCTTCCTAGTTAATAATTAGCAAAAAATTCTGCAGTGTGATCAAATAAAAATCAAATATGAGGTATATGAGAAATAGGTTAAACAAGTTACTTTTTTACTAATAGTGTCAAAGAATAATATAAAAACTTGATTTTCCTCAGTTACATTACTTTCTTTTGTGAATGTGTTATCTAAAAAAAAAAAATGAAACAGTTAAAACTTACAGGTTTTGTTATTTTCTTTTTCTTTTTGACTGAATCCCTAACTCTGCCCACAAAGCCTCAAGATGTAGGTAAGAAATTTACTTGTATGTCAGCTAAGAAATGACTAAGTTGGGATAATTTCTATTTTTTCAACCTTGTTTTCTTTTAATTTAAGTTTTTACTTGCTTTTTCTTCCCTTTCCCTAGTTTATATATAATGATCAGATATCCAGAACTAACCTTCCCAGATTTTGTGTTTTGGTGGTCAGGTTACCCTGTCTATAGACAGAGGCAGTTATGACACCCAGCAAATGGTCACCAGCCTCACGGCAGTGTTACTGGGAGATATAAGTCAGATTTGAAATTGTTGGCATTTCTTGCAAATGTGTACAGTGTATGGTAACAGAGAAACATTAGGTATGAGCTGGGATTTTTCTGGAACCTTTGGCTGTCTGATGAATGTCCTGACTAGATGGTGAACACCTTCACAGTATGCAGCACTCTGCTTCTTCCAGCTGTGTAGTGTGTAAATGTCCCCAAGCCTGTGCCCCCCCCCCAAGCCTGGCCGAGGCAGCGTCAGCCTGGAGGACATGGGGACTGTTACATTTCTTCTACCAAAATGGGGAACATTTTGAACTTCATCTATTCAGAGGTGTCTTTTTGTAATCCCTCTGGTCTGAAAGGAATACCTTTTTATAACGTGAACAAAGGTGCTATAAGTATTGCAGTGACCTTGAAGATCTGGACTGTGTCCAGACAGTTAAGACATTAACTTGGAACCCACACCACACCCCCACTTCCCAACCATGCCTGTTAGTGAGCCCAGTCACAGTATTGAAGAAGGTGGTCATTCCTGAGTATTCCTTCTCCTGGGCCCCTTGCAACAACTTAGTAAAAAACATCTTGTTGATTTTTGTCTCTAATATCTTTTGCATCTGCATTTTCCTTTGCATTTCCATTATTCCTACCAAAATACATATCCTGCCGATTTCTCAATAGAATAGTTGCAGAATTCTCCTAGTGGGCTTCTTGCTTTTGTCCACCCACCCATTCATTCTTCCATCCATGTATTTGACAAATAGTTCTTGTCACTTTCTATTTGTCAGGCACTGTGGAAGACCCCAGCATATCAGACATACCACTACCTAGCTGATGCTTCTTAGCATACAGAAATGGTGATATTACTATTCTGTATAAACTCTTTCAGTGGCTCTTCATGGCTTCCAGTTGGAGCCTAAATTACTCAGCTTTAGATGAAAGACCCCCATAATCTGAATGCAGGTTCTTTCTACCTTAGGTTCTGTTATTACTCTTTATGACCCACTTTCTCATCAATCGCATGATTTCTTACTTTTGTGTTTTTACTTACACCATTCTCTCCACACAGAAACATGAGACTCCTTATTCCTCAGCTAGCTGAAATCCTGCACATTTTTTCAAACTCCATTCATATGCCCCTCCTCCTATAATCCTTTCTCGGTTCCTCACTCAGAGATCATAAAGCATTCCTGGCATTTAGAATGTCATATACATTCTACACTGGCTTATCGTCATGTTCCTGAGTCAAATGCACTGTAAGAATACTGAGGAACCCCCTGAGGTCCAGGGAAGATATTTTAGTCATCACTGATTGCCCATAGTATCCAGCGTAATACTTTGCAAAACTAAGGACTCCATGAAAGTAGTCTATGTGAACACATGTAAATGTGCTCTGATTAGTATATGCTCTCTGGGAGGGAATCAATGATTTTAGACTAGTCCAGAGGTTGCCTAAATGTCTGTCTGGCTAACATTATAAACTTTACTGACCACCAGCGTGCTGCGGCATCATCTCTTGTCAGACACTGCTGTAGCATTATACCACATAACAATGCACCTTCATAATACTTCTCTAGTCATACCTGGTACATAGCATGGAGATGGTGCTTGTGTTTGACATTTGTGGCTGGGGAGCCATCAGTAGCAAATCTGATGAGTTTGAGATTAATTCAAATCCATCAACTTAATATTTTTTGAGCACATAATCAACTAATATCAACACATAAGACCTAATACTTCATTCATATGACTTCTTTACTTCACGTTATACATGCCAAATTATTTTCTACCATCAGATTTTATTTTCTACCTTATAAATTTAGACATCACATACTGTCATTTATTGGGAAAATGTTAAAATATCAGGATATATAGTAATGTAAATTTCTTTGCTTTTCAGATGATGTCAGTGTCACCAAAAAATTTATAGAGGAGAATGTTGGATATATGTGAGTTTCTCTAAACTCATTTTGATGATGATGTTGTTTATCATAATCTCATCTGATATCTTCCAGAAACGTTAATGCTTCTCAAAAGTAATTTAAATATAAATTATATCAAAAAGTAAATATAGTATTAATCATAAAATTTGGATAAGGCAATTGAATTGTCAGGAAATTGTAAAACTTACAGCCTTCACACTTTGATAATTTCCTGAGGTTAGTTAGTAAGTTAGAGTGTTCCTATGAGTTTTTGTTGGACATACATGGACATTCTGCAGGTCATCATTGTGTACTCTGTGTGGACTATTGCAGCACCATCATTGCATTTGCTCAATATATTCAGGAGGCATCCTTTGAAGAAGTAGAAATGTTGGCGAAAGCCATGACAGAATACAGAGATAAATGCTTGGCTGACAGGACACTCCCAGAGTGTTCAAAATTAGCTGTAAGTAAATCGTTTGCATTTCTTAAACAAACAAGCTTATTTGTCAACACTGAGAGAATTTTTGGCTCGGAAATATAAAAAGAGAGATGCTCTGCGCTCCTGTTTTTATTTTGCCCGATTGCAGAATTTAGGATAAGGCACTTCCCAGGAGGGATGCAATTCTGTGTTATGATGCCCAGGAGGACTTGGCTATGAGCTTGCAGTCCATGCCATGTGTACACAGGCAGGAAGGCAGCCAACAGCCTGACAAAACCCGCAGAGGTACAGCGGTACCCTCCCCCCTGCCTCTCTCAATATGTGCTCTACTGTCACAGCCCCTTTTGTTGCCTTCCCCCCAACAGAGTCACCATCTGAATCTTTAGAAAACTCTTACTAAAAATGACTACTTAATACTTTACCAACACATTATATTCTGTCCTTGACACTTTGCAAGAGTAGGAAAAAAGTCATTGTGTAAAGGAAACGTAATCAGTAAAGAAATAGGAAGAGGTTAAAGGGCCTCAGGTTAGGTTAGAGAAAGGGCCCCCAAATGTGGGATGGTTATCAAGGTATGGGTCAAAATGCTCTGCTGGTCATATTGGGAAAATTGGAATCTCTTCCCCGAAGGGTGACATACCACCCGTTTTCTCCCTTGTTGTCATCTCAGAAGCTTGAAAAACTTTACAATGAATAAAAAGTGTCTTTTACTTTTCTGTTGTCCAGAATGATGTTTTACTGGAAAATATATGTGCTATGGAGGGGCTTCCACAAAAGCATAACTTTTTACACTGTTGCCGTAAGATTGACGTAGAAAGAAAACTCTGTTTCCTCCATAACAAGAAGGCTGACGTGGGATTTCTGCCTCCTCTCCCTACTCTGGATCCTGAAGAGAAATGCCAGACTTTTAAAAATAACAGAGAATCTTTTCTAAATAAGTAAGTTTAATGTTAGTAGAAAAATGATCTAACTGAAGAATTTATCTTAGGCTAAATCCAATATCTATACCAAAGGAACATAGCTGGTTTCGTTGATCACAATTCGTTCATTTTTCCCTTCCCTTGTCTACCATGCCTTCATTTTCCCTGTTTTTCCCCTTTCCCTCTTTCTTCCCCATTTTTCTTTTATAGTTATATCTATGAAATTTCCAGAAGGAACCCCTTTGTTTTTGCCCCTACACTTCTAACCGTTGCTGCTCGTTTTGAGGAGATGACTAAAACCTGTTGCGAAGAACAAGAAAAAGCTTACTGCTTTCGAACAAAGGTGAGTAGCATATTTATTTCATTAAAAGAGGGAGTCACTCCAAAACTGTAGATTTCTCCTTAAAATTAAATTATAGCAAAAGAGTTGTTTACCATTTATCCACCATTCTCTTGCCAATTTCACTGGTTTTTCAGCCCATTGACCACATGCTACTGATTTAAATTTCTTATTACCTGAGACATTTGAAAGACAATCGCTCATTTCCAGGGTCTCTCTTCTGGCTTTGTCTTCCTTGTAAATTGAAAGGAAGTCCTAGTAAGTAAATAACCAGGGTAAGAATGACATTGTATCCTCTATCCTGGACGAGTCCTCTTTTGGCCACCCACAACATTTAATCATCCCGGTAGAGATGGACAAGCTCACAGCGCACTACCCCACTCATCTTCCCACCAAGTGCAGCTGAGTCATTAGAAGACTGGCTCCACCTTTTTAATGTGGTGCAAATTTATACTTCCTTTGATATATACATTTCCTAAGATAAAAATCTCTTGGACTTTCTGTTTCTGAACAAACTTTGAAATTGTTTGGTTGGCATTTAGTTAAGAAATAAAGAATAGTGGGATTTTTGCTGTTGCTTCAACAAAATTTTTTCTTTATCCTTCAGGCAGAACATTTCATACAATATTTAAAAGCATTGTCTTCTTATCAAAAAAATGTCTGTGGGGCCCTTATGAAATTTGGACCACAAATCTTACAATCTATGTGAGTTTTATAATATGTGTCTTGACTCTACTTTAATTTTCTTGTGTGTGTCCCATTTTTGTTACATCACTGATGAATTTTTATTTATACTCTTTCTAGTTCCCCAGGGGTTTTGAGGTGGGTCTCAGTCTGCGTGGATTGCTCAGAACCAGGACATTATGTCAGGATGAGAAAAGACCTGGAAGGTGGGGAGAACCCAGAGAGAAAGAGGGTTACTTCTGAGATATTTTTGGTTAGCTGGGAATCTGAATGGATCTGGGAGTTCCTAACTATGGTTTTAAAACCTCCACATGCTTTAGACATGCCTTACCATCCATTTTGATTTTAATGACTAGGAGACAACCTTCAGGGATAAATTTTGTCTCAAAGGCTCACCCTAATCCATTAGTAATGGTGCTAGTGCAATGTCCTGTGGAAAATTCTGAGATTTCAAATAGATCAGAAGGAAAGGTTTCTGTGATGGATTATCTATGCCTGCCATGGGCTCACAGCAAGAAATGACGCTATAAAAATTATGCAAAAGGACACATTTCTCAGGCCTTTTTTTTTTTTTTCCAGTCCTTATCCAGGACTCAAAATATCAGCCTAGGATTTTCAAAACGATCATGTGGGCTGTGAAATAGATAAACCACTATTTGGTAAAGCCGTCGGTGAAAAAGCAAGGGTACCAATGCCTGCTGCACTATTTACACTGCAACAGCAAAGAACTCCCTCTTGCCTTATTTGCTGTTCAAGTTGTTTCCGTGGTTTACTGATTCTCTTTCCAGAAACACTGCTGTACTTAGTCAAAAATTCCCCAAGATTGAATTTAAGGAACTAACCTCCCTCCTCAAAGATGTTTCTTCCAAATATGATGGATGCTGTGAAGGCGATGTTGTGGAGTGCATTCACGGCAGGGTAAATATTCTATAAAACCAAGTAAAATAGTGATTTGGGACAGCCATTTTTAAACTCTGAAGTTGCCCTAACATGTGACTACTTATTTTACCACAGTAAAATCAGAATGTGAATAAATTGTTCAATAATAACATAAAATAAACAAAATAAAAAATAAAATGCTAACAAATAAGCCCCATTAAAACTTTGGAGTTTTTTATACATGGGGTTATTTTTAGATGACTCAGAAGATTTTATCTTATATGGCTAAGTGTGCATGACACAAACTCCAGAAATTTAGAATTTGTGAGCATTCATCTAGGCCAAACTAAAGTTTCCTTTAATATTGCAAATTCTCTTTTAGAGATATTGGAAATTTAACAGTAAAGGTCAGAAAATGATTTGTTATTATGTTTTTAAGAGCTGCTTTCCCTGAGTTTCTTCAAGCTACTTAGGAACCATCTTTCCAAATAAGTGGATATGTTCAATTAAAATAACTCTTAATCTAGTCTCTAAAGGGCATATACTAGTAGATATATTGTTGACCTAGCTGAAGTTGTTCATGCACGCAAAGGTAATACAATTTCATTAATTTCTAATGAATTTCAATAATTTTAATAATTCTAATGAAATTAGATTTTTTTCTTAGAGACTTTTAATTCACTATACTGTTTCTAATTCACAGTGAAACAGCATGTTAATTATGTTAATTAGATAACTTGAATTTTAGAATATGGAGATATGTACATTTTATTTCAAGTAGTTGACAATAGTTGTCCCCAAGAATTATTTTGTCCTTAACTGTTTTCCAATGAAAAGCAATCTCAATCACTATTACTTTTGTGCTGGTTAATTGTTTATGAGGATGTTGCTTTATAATATTAAGTATAATGTACTGAAGTAGGCTACAATTGAGAATTTTTCTATGAAGTTTGGAGCTGAGACTAAGAAATCATATTATATTCTTAATATCCTTTTATTTGATGCCTTTATGGAAAAATAAGTGGAATTGTATTGTCATTCATTCAAAATAGAAATGAATTTTCAGACAATAAGAGATAATTCATTTCTTTTTTATGTTTTTTTCAATTAAAGTATAGTCAGGTTAGTGTTGTGTCAATTTCTGGTGTACAGCATAATGTTTCAGTCATACATATACATACATATATTTGTTTTCATATCTTTTTTTACCACAGGTTACTGCAAGATAGTGCATATACTCCCCTATGCTATATAGTATAAAATTGTTGTTTATCTATTTTATGTATAGTAGGTAGTATCTGCAAATACTGAATTTCCAATTTATCCCTTCCTACCTCTTTCTTCTGTAGTAACCATGTTTGTTTTCTATCTCTGTGAGTCTGTTTCTGTTGTATAAATAAGTTCATTTGAGGTTTTTTTTTTAGATTCCACATATAGGTGATATCATATGGTATTTTTCTTTCTAGCTGTGGCTTACGTCACTTAGAACGACAATCTCCAGGTCCATCCATGTTGCTGCAAATGGCATTATTTTATTCTTTTTTATGATTGGGTAATATTCCATTGTATATAAACACCACAACATCTTTATCCAGTCATTTGTTGGTGGACATTTATGTTGTTTCCATGTCTTAGGTATTGTATATATGCTGCTACGAATATTGGGTGCATGTATCTTTTTGAATTAGAGTTGAGATTTCATTTCTATTTTGAATGTGTTGCCTAGAATGATGCCTTAGGTGAGCTGCATATATATTTGCAAAGCTTGGCTCCCTGGTTCTATGTGATTTGTTTGAAATGTGGTGACAACCTCCATTCCATTTCTCACCTCAGTCTAGAGCTTCCTCTCATTCCTCAGCCTCAGTGTTCCTCAGAGGAAGATTCCAGGCAGGAAGAATAGCTTGAGCAAAGTCAGAGAGGTCTGGAAAAGCCTAGTGCTTTATGAACACAACATAGATCACGTGAAGCTAGAACAGAGAGTAGGAGGAATGTGCAGCCTCATTCTGGAGAGTCAGAGAAGGGACTAGGGACTAGATCAGCTTTTAAAAAATCATGTAACTAATGTGTGAGCAAGATAACTTCCCCTTTTCTTTTATTCCCATAACTTTGTGTGGAGGTCAGAATTGAGATGGAGTCAGGAGAGGAGACAGAGTAAGGTTTTCTATTTTGTGCATTATTTGGTCATTTGAACAGCTTCAAATTAATAACATCTGAAGGAAAATGACAATAATGAGTAGAAACCTTCTTACATTTGAGAAGGCTTCATCTGGTAGTTGCTGCAGTGATTTATTTGTTTACCACTCTTTCATTCACTTATCAAATATTTATTGAGTTTCTACTGCATGCATGGCAAGGTAGTTTCAGGCCCTAAGAGGAGAAATCCAGGACCATAGATATTACAGTAACAGCCCTTGGTGGCCCTCATTCAAGCACAGGTGAATGCTTAGGGGAAAAAAACAGTGCTTAGAATTGAAAATGACTATGTATCACTGGAGTAAGGGTAAAATATTTAAAAGATCAATATTTAACAATGAATGTGAATTTATGTCTATTTTTCATAATTATATCATCTAAAATCTTGAGAACTAAGGCTCACATTAACGTGAAAATTCATTGTATTAAATCAATACAAAATTTAAATATTATCTACCAAATTAGCTGATGAAACAATTCCAGACAACATGCCAGTGGTTGATTTTGTATACTATTTATGACAGTAAATCCAACCCTGAAGAAACTGTGAAAATAAAGTCACCTCTCATTCTTATTTGATACAGAGCAAAATTATGAGCCATATTTGTTCAAAACAAGATTCCATCTCCAGCAAAATCAAAGGGTGCTGTGAAAAGAAGATACCAGAGCGTGGCGAGTGCATAATTTACTCAAATAAAGATGATAGACCTAACGACTTATCTCTAAGAGAAACAAAGTTTACTGAAAGCAACAATGTGTGTGAGGAACGAAATGCTGACCGCGGGAACTTCAAGACTGAGTAACTTAACTCTATATTGACATTTATAAGACAAACAGGAACTTTTGATTTGATCTATTTTGGCTAACTTGGGTGGAAGGAATAGGAACCTTTTAAAGCATTGGGTATCACATGATTTAAAAAAATCATGGCTATAGAATATAGTCTTTTTACATGATTTTAAGAAAGTGCAACTGTGTTATAGTGATGGCTAACATTTATTGAGTACTTGATATGTGCCAGACAATGGGCTAAGTATGAGTATCTATTTTAATTCTCACAGTCATGTAAAGTAACTATGATTTCTCCCAGTTTTTAGATGAGCAAACTGAAGTACAAAGAAGTTAAGTAACTTGTTCAAGGTTCACAGTTACAATATGGCAGAGTAAAGATTTGACCCCGGAGGTCTGACCCCAGAAGTTTCAGGCTTAACTTCCATGCTCTGTCATCCCACAGCTATTCAGGGGAAAGACTAGAGGATTTGGAAACAAAAGGCATAGAGTTGAGTCCTGGCTGAGTCACTGGGACAAGTTAACTTCTCTGTATTTTAGGTAATCATATAAAAAATTTATCTAAGACTATTTATTCCTTCAAAGTTTATAGGTAATGAAATATAATCCAGGGACTTGGTTAGACAAGGTTTTTATCCCCAATAAACGTTCCTCAATAGGAAGACTCAACAATAAATGAGTGCAAGAAATATTCTTTAATTTTTAACAGCATCAGGCTGTACAATACAGGTCATGTGGGGACAGAGGAGAAACTCCCTGGGGGCCCTGGAAAGGCTTGATGGGGAAGAGGTACTTGAAGGAATTTTGGTGAGCTAGACAGAAGGGGTCACACCAACAGAAACACAAAACTACTTGGCGTATACGTGGTTGTGAATAGGGTTTCTACAGTGAGAGACGAGGGTAGTGAGGGGTAGAGGGGTCAGATCATGCAGGCATGCTAAGTAACGAGATGCCACTGACGGGTTTTCACTGAAGAATAAGGAAGGACAAAATCACTTTTGTTTTTTAGAAACTTCATCTGGAATGAATCCCAGTTTGGGACTTAGGTGGTTGGTAAGTAGTTCTCAGACTCAATGAGATGGGACCCATGGGGGAAGGTTTTGTGGGAAAGAGTATGTTTGAATCCGACCACGTTGACTTTGAGGTGCCTGTCAGGTAACTAGTTGGTAACATCATGAGGTGATTTCATATGTGAACCAGGAGCTTTGGAAGGAGGTCTGGATTGAAGAGACATGTTACTGAGCACCTAGCAAATTTTAAATGCTTCTTGTCTATTAACTAATTTAATTTTCAAAATGACCTTCTGAGGTTAGAACACTTTTATAGCCTCATTTTACAGGCAAGGAAACTGAGGCATGGAGGTTAAGTAACTTGCTCCAAAGTCACACAACTAATATGTGGTGGAACCAGTGCAGATTCAAACACAACAGTGTGGCTCCAGCCTCCTGCTCTTCTGACCACGGTGCTCTATTGCTTCTCATGAGTCAAATGAAACTAGACGATAGATGTAATGCATTCCACTTGTATCTGATGTGTGCTTGCTGAATGGAAGCGATTTGCATCCTCATCCTCATCATCTCCATCATCATCACTGTTACAACTAAGATAGGGTTTGAAGCCTGGGGAGAAACCATAGCAGAACAAGGGACATGCTGAGCCAGAAACAGTTGAAGGTGCAGTTTTTCGGGGTGTAAACATTTGAGGCAAGACCCCAGCAGATCTGCCAGTTCGGGGTAGGCTTCTGGGAGGTTTTGTTTGCAATACTTTGGTGGTGTGTTTTTAGGTGTAATTTTATTCCTGGGGAAATGTTCATGGCTTACATGAGCTATTAAGGGGAGACCTTGATTCTCTGAAGGTTAAACACAATTGCTTTAGGATATGGGAGTGCATCCCACAGATAGGTGAAGAAGCAGGAGAGACAGTGTCAGAAAAACCAAGAGAATCGAAGGCTGTGAAACAAAGAGATGAAAGAAGTCCCTTGGGCCTGAGGAACTTTTGTGAGGTATTGCTCTCACAAAACATAGACCATTTTTACGTATATTGTTTGAAAAGACAAGATAGTTACCTGAAGAAGATTATACATAGCACAGCTGAGGTACTTAAAGAAAACACCTCTCTCTTGAGAAGAGAGGCAGCTTGGTTTAAAAAAGAATGAAGTAGGCATCCTGTAGGACTTAGGTTCAGATTTTATACTTCTATTAATAGCAAGGTGCTAAAGTGGTCTGACTTGGTTTCCTCAGCTTAAAACGGTACTTGTCTTGAGGACTAGATGGATTTAAATGAGAAAGTGTTTATAAAGATTAGGAAGTGTATCTTTGTCTTCTATGCCCAAAGCTTGATCCAGTGCCTAGCACCTACTAAGGGCTTAATAAGTGTTAGCCTCATCGCACTCCCTCTCCTGCTTTCTCCCCAAATCCCACCCACCTCTACCCTCACTGAGGCCATGGAAGCCACAGCCAACGATTTAGAGCTGCAGGGGTGATTACGCTCATATTTGGCAAGTGACAGTAGGATGTAACAGACAAAGGATGCTCCATAATCTCTCCTCAAGGTGGCATCAGGAATGGAGACAAAGCCATATTTTCACCTTCTCAAGATGGGATATCTAAATGCATTTTCCAACAGAAGTATACTTGATACGTGTTTTCCAAAGTATTGGTGGCATGATCTACTATTGCTAATGCTTATGGATTAAATCATTCTAATAATTAATGCTAAATACCTCTAACCATTCCATCCCTCCAAGTAAAAGCATCGTTAGTTTACAACATGATATGGAAGAGAATCTTTGCGAAATGATCTCCTTTAGTCAAAACATCTTAAATCACTCCCTGACCACACCGAATGAGGAACTTCGCATTTGAAAGCAGACTCAGTATTAGATGATGTGACTGGACTAAAAGAGAGCAGGATTTGGTGTTTCTCTCTTTCTCTAAATTCTAATACACAAAATATTTTACACATCACAGGTTTCTTTATGAATATGCAAGGAGACATACAGAACTGTCCATACCAGAGCTGTTAAGAATTGCTGAAACGTATGAGGATCTCCTAGGAGAATGTTGCAACACGGAAAACCCTCCAGACTGTTACAGAGATGCGGTAGGTTCCATCCCTGTAGGCTCAGAGAATTCACAAACAAAACAAAACAACAAATGCTTAAAAATGATCAAAGTTTTACTGTAGTTCAGAGGATAGAAAACGTGATTGACCAATCTGAGTCGACCTTAAATTCGGTGTAAGCTGATCATTGGGAAGACCAGTATCAACAGTTTGGGTTATGCATAAAGTTTTGAACTTTAACCCTGTGTCTTGATGCAAAAAACTCTTTCCATTAACATTAAGCATTTGTATTTTTATTTATGAACTATGTATTTTCTTGAGACATATTGAATTTTTTTATAATTGCCAAAATAATAAATGATTATCAAAGATGATTAGGAAAGTACCAAAAGTTACAAAACAAAAACCCCAAACCTTTCTGATTCTGTCACAAGAAATAGCTATAATTAACATTTTCTATACATATATGCAGATATGTGTGTGTGTATGTTTAAAAGTAAAATTAGTATAACATTTTTTGAAGAAATTTTTGGATCTGTTTTTTATTTAGTATCATAAAAAACATTTTATATTATTAAACAGACCTCAAAATATACTTTATTTTGAATAATGATATCCTATCATAATAACTTATTTAACTGCTCTCTTACTGTATAGTGGACATTTATTTAAGTTTTCAAAAATTTTATGTCACCCTAAGTATTTCATCCCATTTATCTTTATTAATATTTATGGTTATTTTCTTAAGATAGATTATCAGAAGGAAAATTATTAGGTCAAAATATATAGACTTTCAAAAAAAACAATTGATAAAAATGGCCAAGTTACTTTCCAGAAAGTTTTTACCAACATCTAGTCCTATAACAGTACTTGAAAATGCTTTTTTCACCCCCCATCTTCACCAACATTGCACATGGAAATTAAGTTTTCTTGATTTATATGTAAAAAATAATGACTGTGTTTGAAGAATTTAACTGATTTTTAATGAAATTAAGCTTTTCCATGTGCCTTTAGCTATCGTAGCTATAAATTTCCCAGATCAATTTGTTCATGTCGTTTACCCATTTTCCTGTTGAAATTAGTGTGTTTTTTAATATCAGTTTATATGCACTCCTTATGT